AGAGCCGAGCCGACAAGCCGCGAGCCGGCTCGGACCAATTGACATCTCTAGTTGGAATCGTATAAAAATATTAATAATAAATAAAAATTATTAATTTATAAAGGTTATAAAGAAGAAAATTCTAATTCTCAAATGGAACAGAAGAATTTCGAGGTCCAACCACCTCCTGACACATGGCAATTGGATAGGCAGCAATGCAGATAAGCCATCGACTGACGAATTTCAAACGAATAGACAGGAAAAATGGCAACCATCTCTATTCCTCTATTGCAAAAAGCCATCTCCGGCCGGCAACTTCCGGCCAAATGTGGTCGTCCCACTCCTCAAGAGCTCCACTTGCCCTTCAAAATCAGGTGTTACTGTAAGAATTCCGTTAGTTTCGTGATTTTGTTAAACAATTATAAGATTATTTTGCAGTAACAGAGTTTTGTATTCCAGTATAAGACCGCGATTATATATTTGATGCGTGTTTGTGGGTTCAGCGACGAGGGATGGTTTCATATCTGTAGATAGTTTTTCTCAATTTAAGGAGCTGAGGAGTGTAGCTTGTGGCGTTCTTGCTGTTTGGGCTGTCACTGCTGCCTCGCCTGTGATCGCAGCTAATCAGGTCAAAATACAAGACCCATTTTTTGTTGTCAAATTTTGATTTTTTTAATTTTCATTTTACATCGGAACAGTATTAATATTTGAGGTTGAGGTAATTTCTTTGTGATTACTCTGCCGGCCAATCAACAAAGATCTGAAAATGACAACTTTTTGAGCCTACGAAAGGAAATTCCATTGACAAACTTTTAATTTGATTAAGATATATGTTTGTTTTGAGAGTTAATCTCTCGCAACTCTCTTCCTGATACTAAACGCGAGCCTGAATGGATTGTGAAATGTTGTGAGCGGAGTTTATGAAATGTTCTACCATTTGAGATAATTTAGAGTATTATTATTTGTTGTTTTAAGGAAGAAGTGTTGGAATGACTTGAAATGCGTTGGGGTTTGATTTGCAGAGGTTGCCTCCTTTGTCGACAGAGCCAAATAGATGTGAACGTGCATTTGTGGGCAATACAATAGGTCAAGCAAATGGAGTCTATGACAAACCACTCGATCTTCGTTTCTGCGATTACTCTAACGAGAAATCCAACCTTAAGGGGAAGTCTCTCGCTGCAGCGCTCATGTCGGATGCAAAGTTTGATGGGGCAGACATGACTGAGGTGGTGATGTCAAAGGCATATGCTGTTGGAGCCAGTTTTAAGGGTAAAATAGTTTACACTCTCACATCTTTTGTATGTTATTAGCTATGACCGTGTTCCTCTATGCGAAGTGTTCTTGCAACCTTATTTCATGTAATTAAGAAATTCAGCAAGAGGAGAATGAGGGTCCATTTGGTAGGGCTTTTGTTTTTGCTACTGCTTCTTGTAGCAGAGGTTCTTTAAGAAGTTACTTTAGGCCAAATTTCTCTAAAAGTTCTTCTAGAGCTCTCGTAGTCAGGTAAAACACTTCCAGAAAATTAACTAAACATGTTCAGAAGCTGTTTCTTTAATCTCAGAAGCAGATTTTGACTTTTCACGATTTCTGCCAAATGAGCTCTGCTGGTCTGTTTAATGCATTTTAGAGCAGATAAACACAAAACCGAATGCAATACTTCTAATATAACAGGAATATGAATTGTGACATATGCGAATCATCAAAAGACTGCACAAAAGACAAAATTTGATACTTATATTAGTGTTGTCATAAAAATATCGGGCTTCCTCTAGGAATTTAATAGTATGCTGTAATTCTCTCCAAGATTCACACAATTCTATTCTTCCTCTGTTGTTTCGTAAACTATATGTATCGGAATATATAGTTATTGAAAGAATAAAGTTGGTTAGTTAATGGAGAGCCAATACGGGACAGAGTGTAACGTGCACAATAGTACCTTTCCTAACATATTTGAACAAGAGAACTTGCAAAGATTAGATTGATGCTGAACTTCTTGAATATATGTGTTTATTTCCTTTGTTCATTTTACGTACTCAGCTAAATAAACCGGACCTATACCAGGTTAAATCAATTTTTTCATGGGAAATGTCCTCATTAAAGCCTCTTCAGTGGAGATGTTTAATTCGAGTTCTAAATACTAGATTACAGTTGTAACCTGTAACCAATAAATATAAGCTGTTTAATGCTTCAATTAGTCTCCTGTTGCCTTGAAGTTGCGCATCTTTTAAATTTTCTACCTTTCATTTGTGGAATGAGAATGATGGTCCTAATTCTTGTATATGCTCGTCAACAATCAAATTTAATATTAAGAATGTTTTTACACCATAAATTTCCATCACTATTACCGGCAAAGCTGTTAATTGATTCCACAAAGCTACGGTTATCATGTTTAATGATGAGATAATATCTGTTTGTTACTGTTGGATTGCGCAGAGCCTAGTATTTAAAGGAAAGGGTCCCCCTAATACTTGCTATATAGAGTATTTTAGGGGTTCAATTTTTGAGGGCTTGAGAGAACCTTTTACTCTTCTATTCTATTATGCTGAAACCTACAACGATAAGTGGACACAACTCTCACACTGAGGGTGAACCACTAAATCTATATGTCCTTTTTTATTATCTTTTGTGTCATTCTATTCTTATTGTTCTTGTAACGAATGCAGAAGCAAAAAGTTCTACATATGACTCTGTTATTAATGTGAATAGTTGTTGTAATAACTTCCAGGCACAGACTTCTCAAATGCGGTTGTGGATCGAGTGAATTTTGGGAACGCAAACCTCCAGGGAGCCGTGTTTAAAAACACTGTGCTATCTGGATCCACGTTTGTGGAAGCTCAACTCCAAGATGTAGACTTTGAGGACACCATCATTGGTTACATTGATCTTCAGAAACTTTGTACAAATAAGACTATCAACGATGAAGGAAGAGTTAACTTGGGATGCCGATAATCTTTTCGCAATTGCTTGGTATTTGTTTCTTTTTCTCATATAGTATACCATAATATATAAAGTGAGTTGTATTTGCTGAAGATAGTTGTACTAATCCGTTTTCCTTAAACTTTCAAAATATATTCTGATTTATACAGCCATAATGAATTGTATTCACTTTGTATACTGCATGACACTCCACATAGAATTCTTATAATTTTCAGTTTATTTTTTTATTTTTTTTTAATGATTCTATTTACTGCTCCAATAGATGCTCGACCAATGCCACCTCACATGTTGTACTCTTAACAGCAGTTTGCTATCAGTAACCAAAATGTCCGTTGTTTGGTCTCTCTTGTGCCTTCCATTTATAGAAACAGAGGTGGAGCATTTTTCTTAAATACTCTCTCTCGCATTTGGAAGAATTAGTCGGGTGTCATAAGGAGATTAGTTTGATGGGATTTTTGAGGTGAAAAGTGGTTGATTAGATTGACTTTCCGTGGATTATTCCTTCTGATTTGGTGAAATCCCTTCTGGTTTGGTCTACACCCAACCATTTAGTACAGATGATGTTTTTGCATAGGTGTAAGCGACTTTATCAACGACAATCCATTCATTCTTTCAACAGTATAAATTATATAACTATTAATTTAAAAAGAGATTTTTCTCGTTGTACAACTGAGGTTGACGGTTGACAATGTCCTCACATGAAGGGTCCACGATTTTTTTTATTCATCGTGGGCCCCCTTTCATGTGTGTAATTGTCAATTGGGGTTCGTGAGCTCCCTTTCATGTGTGTAATTGTCAATTGGGGTTATTAACCTCAATTGTACATGTAGCACTTTTCTTTAAAAAGTCGTCATTCTGTTGGTCTTAGAATGTGAATGGCAGGTCTGGCGGCAACCAAAATTCCTTGGTGTGCATTCCTCAACGGACTTTCCAAATCATACCTGCCACTAACACTTCTTTTTATTCCCTACTAAAAATTTAAAAATGACAAATTAAAATAACTTCCGAAAAAATATATTAACGAACTCGACCGACTACATTATGAAAACTTTCTGACTAAAAAACACGTGTCATGCTAACCTTTTGCCCTCAACTGATGCTTTAGGTAGAGGGGATAGCTGTGCCAACCAAACCTTAGGTAATGGTTGGTGGAGAGTGCCACCCAACTTTCTGCTCATTCATTCTATAGTATTTATGGGCCATTATCTTCTCAGGATCAGATATTCAGTCATATATATTGGGGGGGAGAGAGAGAGAGAGTAGAAAGGTCGATGGTGATGGCTTCTTCCATGTAATGTTTCTTGCTCAAATGAGTATTCCAAGATCACCAAGCATTGACGCATTTCAAAACGTAAATGAGATGCTGGTGTTGGTGATCGCGAGATGCTCATTTGGGCAACCAATATTACACTGGAGGCTTTGTATGTCTCAATCCTCAAGAACTGCATGTCACCAGATAAGTATTTATTTTTTACTTCTAGCTACTGTGTGAGTGTTTGGTACATTTTATTAAGATTATAACTTTTCATTTTTCTCTGTTAATCATATCCAAAAATCCAAGACTCGTAAGCATAGGAAAATGCATGTTTCAAAATTTTCACCTCATTTTTTTTTCTGTGAATCCTATTTATTTAGTTTCGATCTAATATATATATTTATTCCTTTGCTTACAACTAATAAACTGGTAAATATTTGTGTCTGACCTCTTGAGTTTCTACTTAGAAGTCTAGAATTCACTCTCAACGCCAACACGGGATTTACAAGTGTGCGGTATCGACATTGAGAAATCACAACAATGGCAACTTTGCAGGTTGAGATGATGTAATCATAATTAATCCCTGTTTGACAAAGCTTTTTGAGAGTATAAATTTGTGATTTTCAAGAAATATAGTTAGAAATTGAATACAGCTAAATGGTGTGGTTAAAATAAAAATTTGACCAGTTTAAAATTTCAAAAAAGCAGGGGTTAGCTCCATGTTTGGCAGCCATTTTGGCCGAAAGGTTGATTTACTTTTTGACCGTTTTCTTGGAAGTGGGATGCAGTGGTACATGCTCTGTTTGTTTCCCATTTTGGTGAGAATGAGAACGAAAAATATAGTCGTTATGAGTCCTACATAAGAGATAGAAATTCAAATTTGATGACTTGATGTGATGGATATCGGTCATGTTTTTCATTTTAATGAGGAAATAATGAAAAACAAACAGGCGCATAATTTTGATTGCACAGGATGCATAAAGACGACTTTGCCATTACTTCACCTAGTATGAATTTCATTTGTAGGGGCAACTAAGTAATTTTGCCCTCTATTGTCAATAAATGTGGCTGTCTCCTCCGGCAATAACGGGCAAAATTCTTCTAAACATCAGCATTTTAATCGGAATAAAACCTCCCAAATCGAAATCTAAGTCCAATTCTTTAAAAAAAAAAAAAAAAAAAAAAAAGGTAATGGAGTCAAGAACCAACCGGGTCTCGAACGGTTCTTTGTTCATGAATTGGAAATGTAGATACCAGGGCTGGAACTGAACTTGTCCATTTCATAAGCTTTTAATTTTTTTATAATTTATTCAACTTAACTCAATACATCGGTTCAACAAGTGTCAAGTTTGCAAGGCCGAGCAGTTTATACAATAATCAATCATATTCATTCATTTGAATAATTTAATCATATCCCTCTTCGTCGTAGTCACACATGATTGCATTTTACGCTCTGTCCACACCATAAATCCTTCTTGAGGCACCGCTTGCCTTCACAGTTGAAACTGGATGCTATTATGCTAGGTATTGAAAACTATTTGGTGCCATATGCAATGGATTAAAAAATGTTGAAATATGTATTTGGCGGGATATTTATTTCTTCTATTTTTGCTAGATATTAAAAAAATAAAATAGAAAAAATAATTTGTATTGTCAACTCACAATTTTTCTAAAAATAAAATAAAATGTTGTGGATATAAGTTCAAGTTCGAGTTTGTTTCCAGTAATTACGTGAGCCCTAATAATTCTGTTTATCTCTTCAAATAAATTGATAGTTTCAAATATTGAAATACAGAGATGAATCCACCAGACGTCCAAACCTAAATTTGTTAACAAAGTTAAAATCAAGCGATGAGAATTTACTAAGATCACCGGAAATGGCTACAAAAATTAGAAAATTTTAACAAACTAGTGCGGGTGGTGGCGATGTGAGAAATTCAACGTAGAAAAATGGCATAATTGAAAAGTTTTTTGAGAAGGTTACCTTAAGTTAGCTTTCTCTAAAAGATCTTCTAACTCGATAATTCATTCGGTGTGACTTTTGAAAATTCTAGAGTTTTTGAAATCTAAAAATTACTTTTGAACACATTTGATTAATTTTATGAAAGTTTTTCCTCTAATTAGAATACCTTTTGGAAGAAGTTAGTTCAATCTAACTTCCTCTAAAAATAGTTTTGAAATTGGAGGTTCTTTTATAAAATAGATTCCAAACAAAAATTATAACTTCATCCAAAATTTCTTTTACATAAAGTGAAAATAAAAGTCATATCAAATGGGTTTAAAGCATTTTATTCGAAAGAAGCTTTTTAGTCTCCGAAGAAACTTTTAATCTTTTGAAATTCCTGCCAAATTTGTTGTTGAAAACTATCTCTCTGTTGTGCTTCAATCTAGTTATGAAAAAGACATCTCAATATAATTGTTTAATAAAGAAGTTCTTATTTTTGTATAAGAGCAATGAAATTAAACTGTCATGTTTGATTTTCATTCTTTAAAAATTTTAACTACATATTTTGTTAATAAAATAATTTTACACATAAATTTAAATTTTTTTCTATTTGTTAATTACATATTCTCCAAAAAATCGTTATAGTTAGTTCTCCAAAAAATTGGGGATCAAATACACCCATAAATCATATGCAAATGAATAAACTATAAAGGAAAAGAAAAGAAAATTCAAGTACAGAGTTAAATGTTTCATTGCCCACTCAACTTTGGGGTACGTCATGACTTATCCACCGAACTTTCAAACTTTTCCCGCTGGCCACTGAACTTTAATCCGTTATCGCCCATTACCCACCGGAACAAATCTGTTAGTTGACGACTCTACGTGGCAGACGGAAAACTGAGTTGGCCCGTTAAATCATAACAATTGTTAAATGTTTTGCCAAATCAGGTCCATATCAGCAAAATGAACACGTCTTTGAGCCCCAAAAACCAGGAACACGCCTTTCACAGTTTCACTTTCCTTTCCTTAGAAAACCCACCCAAATTGCAGAATCCAGAAACAAGGTTGAAGAAGAAATTGGAAGCGAAATAGAAACCCTAAATCCCCAAAATTGTGGTTCGACAGTCGATACCCATAGCCCGGTCCTTCCCGCCATCATTCGCTCGTCAAACAGCCCAAATGAAGCATAAAGAACCAGGACCCTTCCATTTCTGCAATTCGAGCGAATGGACGGACAACATGAAGCTAAAATGTCGAACTTTTTGTGGTTTTTCATGGGTACGAAGAGTCCATTCTCGTGGTAAAGATTAATGGATAAATTTCATTTCATTTCTAGTTTGAATAATTTGGCAAGGTTATTGGATTTGGATGATGCAGTTTTCTTCTCCTTTTTTAACGATAATGCACATCTTTCACAATTTTTCCCATATCTCTGTATATGTGTACGGTGCACTGAGTGGTGCAACATAAAGTATAAGGCAAATGAGGGAAGAAGGGTGCAAGGGATTTATAAACTGGGCTGCAAATGGTGGACATGGGTTTCGAGGGCAGGAAAACGATGAAGTGCGAATCATAGTACCTCTACAGGAACACATGTTTGCTAATGTGTTTCCCTTTTTGACGAAAGCTGCTATGGGAGTTGGATCATTTTGTTGCAGTGAAGCAGCCATATTTCAAACAAGATTTAGAAGAACCCAAATGTATAAAGTAGACAGGACAATGGTTTTCCTTGGAACAACAATTGAATTATGGTTCTTTCAAATGTAAATGATTTTGCAGTATAAATTGAGAACCTATTATGTATGGTTGGTTGGGTATATATTAGCAGAAATTGTGTTTGTAATCCTTTGTGTTTAAAGTTGTGTTGTTTAAACAATAAGCCATGCAAACCAATATAGAAATAAAATGTCCTGATTGAAATACAGAGATGAATCCACCAGACGTCCAAACCTAAATTTGTTAACAAAGTTAAAATCAAGCGATGAGAATTTACTAAGATCACCGGAAATGGCTACAAAA